CCCATGGAGGACCCCACACCGGAACAGGTGGGTTCCCGAAGGAGGCTGTGACCCTGTGGGAAGCCCGCGCTGGAGCAGGCTCCTGGCAGGACCTGCAGACCCATGGAGAGAGGAGCCCACGCTGGAGCAGGTTTTCTGGCAGGACTTGTGACGCCACGGGGGACCCACGCTGGAGCAGGGGAAGAGTGTGATGAGTCCTGCCCCTGAAGAGGATGAAGCGGCAGAGACGTGTGATGAACTGATCATAACCTGCATTCCCCATCCCCCTGTGCTGCTGGGGAGGTTGGTAGAGAATTCAGGAGTGTCCTGGTTTCAGCTGGGATAGAGTTAACTGCCTTCCTAGTAGCTGGTACAGTGCTATGTTTTGAGTTCAGTATGCGAAGAATGTTGATAACACTGATGTTTTCAGTTGTTGCTCAGTAGTGTTTAGACTATAGTCAAGGATTTTTCAGCTTCTCATCCCCAGCCAGCGAGAAAGCTGGAGGGGCACAAGAAGTTGGCACAGGACACAGCCAGGGCACCTGACCCAAACTGGCCAACGGTGTATTCCATACCATGTGGCATCCTGTCTAGTTTAGGAACTGGGGGGAGTGGGGGCGGGGAATCGCCGCTCGGGGACTGGCTGGGGGTCTGTCAGTGGGTGGTGAGCAATTGCACTGGGCATGATTTATACATTGCAATGCTTGTATTACTACTCTTGTCATTTTATTAGTGTTATCATTATCATTATTAGTTTCTTCTTTTCTGTTCTATTAAACCGTTCTTATCTCAACCCATGGGTTTTACTTCTTTTCCCGATTTTCTCCCCCATCCCACTGGATGGGGGGGGGGGGGGTGAGGGGGCGGCTGCGTGGTGCTTAGTTGCTGGCTGGGGTTAAACCACGACAAGGAGTGAAGCTGTGCCTGGGAAGAAGGGAGAGGTGGGGGGAAGGTGTTTTAAGATTTGGGTTTATTTCTCATTACCCTACTCTGGTTTGATTGGCAATAAAGTAATTTTCCCCAAGCTGAGTGTGTTTTGCCCGTGACGGTAATTGGTTGAGTGATCTCTCCCTGTCCTTATCTCGACCCACGAAACTTTGTTGTGTTTTCTCTCCCCTGTCCAGTTGAGGAGGGGGAGCGGTGGAGCGGCTTTGGTGGGGACCTGGCATCCAGCCAGGGTCAACCCACCACACTGATTTTAAAAAAAACTTTCCGTTAAGGTACTCTTTAAATATGTCACTGTATGTGTTTTCAATTGGGACTGCTGTAACGTATGCAGTATTTGCAGGCTCATCTATTAAAAGGCTACGCAAGAAAGGAGTACAAATAAGCATATCTGAAGTGCCGTGAAATGCGAGGCAAATACTTGCTTTGCTTTACAACAGTTGATTTTGTTGATTTTTATCTACTGTCGTACCGTGGGCATTCACTTACAACTAGAGGGAGTTCACAAATACCGGGTTTTATCACTACGCCTCATCATCCGAGTTAACAGGCACAGCTGCTACACAGCTTCTAAGGCCCTCTTACTTCAGATGGCTCCTCCTCAGCTTGAAAATGCACAGAATTCCTCAGGGTCAGCGTGACAAATCGCTGTCCAAGGCTGACGAGCCGGCCAGCCGCTCTCCCGCCCTCCTGCTTCCAGGCGGGCA